CAGACATACTGACAAATGGAACAGAATAGAGAGCCCAGAAATAAACCCGCACAGTTATAGTCAATTAATCTATGACAAATGTGGCAAGAATATACAATGGAGAAAAGATGGTTTATTCAAGAATTGGTGCTGGGAAAACTGGACAGCCACATATAAAAGAATAAAAGTAGATCATTTTCTCACACCATGAAAACAAATAAACTGGAAATTATTAAAGACCTAAATGTAAGACCTGAAACCATAAAACACCTAGAAGGAAATATAGGCAGAACACTCTTTGACATAGGTCTTAGAGATATTTTTTTGGATCTGTCTCTTCAGGTAAGTGAAATGAAAGCAAAAATAAACTAATGGGACAGAATCAAACTTAAAAGCTTTTGCACAGCATAGGAAACCATCAACAAAATGAAAAGGCAAGTGTCCATGGACAGATGAATGGGTAAAGAAGTTGTGGTATATATATATATATATATATATATATATATATATATATATATACACACAATAGAATACTACTCAGCCATAAAAAGAATGAAATATTGCCATTGCAGCAACATGAATGGACCCAGAGATTAACATACTAAGTGAAGTAAGTCAGACAGAGAAAGACAAATACCATATGATATCACTTATATGTGGAACCTAAAAAAATGATACAAATGAACTTATTTACAAAACAAACAGATTCACAGACATAGAAAACAAACCTACAGTTGCTAAAGGGGAAAGAGGGAGAGGAGGGATAAATGAGCACTTTGGGATTAACATATACACACTACTATATATAAAATAGGTAATCAACAAGGACCTACTGTATAGCACAGGGAACTCTACTCAATATCTTGTAATAACCTATAATTTAAAAGAATGTGAAAAAGAATCTGAATCACGTTGCTGTACACCAGAAACTAACAGAACATTGTAAATCAACTATACTTCAATTTAAAAAATTCGACAGCACATGAAAAGGATCAAAAAACATGATCAAGTGAAATTTATCCCTGGGATGCAAGAATGGCTCAACATACACAAATCAATCAATGTTATATACCACATTAATAGAATGAAAGATAAAAATCATATGATCCTCTCAATGGATGCAGAAAAAAACATTTGACAATCCTGTCATGATTTAAAAAAAAAAAATCAACAAATTGGGTATAAAAGGATATCCTAAAGATATCTGCATTCCTATGTTTATTGTAGCATTATTCACAAAGGCAGAAGTACCAATGTGGATGCAATATATATATATATATATATATATATATATATATATATATATATATACACACACACAAAATACTATATATATTTTTACATTATATATATGTGTATATATTATATAAATACAAAATGCCATCTCTATATATGTATATACAAAATACCATAGACTGAGTGACTTATAAAAACAGAAATTAATTGCTTACAGTTCTGGAGGCTGGGAAATCCAAGATCAAGGTGCCAAAACATCTGTGTTTAGTAAGGGCCCACTTCCTGGTTCATAGACAGTGCCTTTTTGCTGTGCCCTCACATGGTAGAAGGGAGCAAGGAAGTTTTCTTGGAGTCCTTTTGTAAAAGAGATTGAATCCCATTAATGAGGGCAAAGCCTAATCACTTCCTCAAAGCCCCATCTCCTAATACCTTCACAGTGGAGGTTAGGATTCAAGATAAGAAATTTGGAAGGACACAAACATTCATACCATAGCAGTGACCGTGAGGAGAAATGGATGAGAAGGATGGGTTGGGGGGCAGGGGGTGGAGGGGGAGAGAGAGGGAGATTAAATTTGAGAATGAATAATGTGTATATGGGTTATGGGTTAGGGGACTGGATGGCTGACCAAGAAGCTTATCAAATGTGGGGATGTTTTACTCCTTTCCAAAAGCATCTGATTCATGTCTTACACCATGGATGATTGCATGTTGTTTTCCATTTTCTAAGTGCCGACTTCTTTATAGGTTAAATTTTTGTGGGTGCAAGCAGCCGACATTGACTCTGGTTGTATAGTCTCTTCAGGACACCTCCCTCAGGATGCAGTAGCTCCAGGATGCAGTAGCTCCAGTCACCTCCCATCCTCCGATCAGAGCACTCAAGATTCATATTCCTGGAAGGTAATTTGATTGGTTCAGCTTGGGCCTCGTGCTAAACAAAGATGGAGGACTTTGATTGGCAGACCCATTGAAGCTACAGACACAGGAATTCACAAAGGCAAATCAAGGTGTTTTTACCACAGCAGACAGGACACTAAGGGGTGATAGGACTCAATCGGATCCCCCAAAATGGTATAAAGATTCCCTTAAACTGAGGACATTGAAGATACAGCAGATGCAGAAAAAAAGCCTTTTCAGAGTGTCCCTTATCTGACTAAAGGCAGAGCTTTCTTTTTTTTTTTTTAAAGACAATAGCTATTTTTTAATATATATTTTTTAAATATTTACTTATTTTGGCTGTGCCAGGTCTTAGTTGAGGCATGTGGACTCCTTAGTTGAAGAAAGTGGGATCTAGTACTAGGGATCTAGGGGATCCTAGGGGATCTAGTGGGATCTAGTACTAGGAGCAAGGAGTCTTACCCACCGGACCATCAGGGAAGTCCCTAAAGGCAGAGCTTTCTAAGAGTGAAGCTGCCGTAAATCCCCTCTCAGGGGAGATTCCAGCTAGGAAGGAGACCAACAAACCACTGGCACCAGGATGAGAAATTGTACAGACATTATCACAAACTGTTATACTTTCCATTGTTCTCATAAAAGCCCATTTGCCTTTCCTAAAAGTCCACTTGTTTTCCGAGAGGCCCTTTCTCCCTCCTTCCTTCCCCCTATTAAGTTGGTATATAATCTCCTATCTCTAGTTGTCCAGGAGTCTCTTCATCTGCTCCTGCATGCATGTGTAAATAAACCTTGTCTTTTCCCCTGGTAATCTATTATCAGTTCATTCACAGCCCCACCATCGACACTCAAACCTGTTAGTAGAGGGAAAGTTTTCCTCCCAATGAGGGTTGGAAAAAATCAGATGTTTTTTCTACCTTCGATGGTGTGAAATGATTTGATTTGCATTTAAAAAAAATCATTCTGGGGGGACTTCCCTGGTGGTCCAGTGGTAAAGAATCCACCTTACAATGCAGGGAACACAAGTTCAATCCCTGGTCAGGGAACTAAGATCCCACATGCCACGGGGCAAATAAGCCTGCACACCACAACTACTGAGCTCGCGCGCCTCAACTAGAGCCCACATGCCTGAAACTACAGAGCCTGTGTGCACTGGAGCCTGCGTGCCACAACTAGAGAGGAGAAAACCTGCACACCGCAACTAGAGAGATGCCCGCGCTGCAATGAAAGATCCCGCATGCCTCAGTGAAGATCCAGCATGCCGCAACTAAGCCCCGACACAGCCAAAAATAAATAAATAAATAATAAATCTTTTAAAAAATCACTCTGGGTATGTCATTGGTTTTATTAACAAGAGAAGTTGTAAGCTTGCTTGTAAAAGAAAGGAATTTAAGTTCATAGCTAGAGGGAAATATGATATCCCAGAAAAGTTTTTGTTCATATGAAATAATGCATATAAAGTTATTACCACTTTCATTGAAAATTAGCTCCCATTTCTGAAATTTCAAACATCTCACACTCTCCCCACCACCATCTCTCCTTTTAAATTCACTTACTAAGCGTGCCCTTGGCCTTAATTCTTTATCTGAATTCACACTTCAATCTAATGACACCACCACTTTTTTTTTTTTTAACCCTCCATTAGCTCCCTCCTAGTCTAGCAATTCCCTACAAGAGCCTAATACGTTCCCAGCCTTCCTTCTAACTGAGAAGGCGTCAGCAGCAGCCCATATGTATACGTACCCACACCGGACTTCTCTCCATCTCACAGATATTGAAAACTAACACCTAAAGTCATACTAGACATAAAAATCTCCTGAACTTTATCTTAAATACAACTGCTGGGGGTGGAAACGCTTAAACATTTCAGTCTCAGCATTTGGCAGCGTCCAATGTTTCAACGGTTGATGAATGAATTAAGTTCCTTTGATTTGGAAGGCCTTGTCCAATGCCTGGGAGCTCAACAGAAAAAGAGGGAAAGTAAGTGGAACGGATAAAGGAAAGGCCGAAGCCCAATGCTCCAGCCGCCGTGCAGGTGTGGAAAGCAGAGGTCAAGGTCTCCAGTTAAACCACAGCCCGCGGCTCATTTTAAGGGGGAGTGGGCGGAGCCCTGACTTTAACCCCGCCCAGGACTGAGGGGACTCGCGGCCAATGAGAGGGCGGTCCGGGGTGGAGCGACCTGCGTAAGACGTGACGCCATCACGCTCCGGTCGGCGCTCCGCAGGGCGTGCGCCGGAACTGTGGACTCTGTAGGTGACCGCCGCCGCGCTTCGCGGTAGAAGTGGGGTGGATTTCGTAGACCGAAGCGCCGCGTCGTGGGAGCCCTCCAGGCGAGTCGAGTCGAGTCACCCGACCTCGGGGTTTTAGGGGCGAAGGGATCAATCACCCCCAACCTTCCTCAGGCTGGGCGGCATGGACTCACTATTAATTGATCTCGAAAGCAATGCCAAGTCAAGGTCTCCGGTGGAGAGGACACCACGGCCTCGCCGCGTCGGCCTTTCGTGCCCCAAGTAGCCAGGCTGTGAGCGTCTGGGGAGAGGCAGCCCAGCGGGATGGAAAGCAGTAGGGACGCCAGTAAAGGCCAGTGTTTATTAGCGCTGTCGGGCACCTTATAGGTTAAATCTTCAAAGCACTCCTGTGAGTAAGCCCTGTTGTTATTCCCATTTTGCAGAGGGGGAAACTGAGGCTTAGAGAGGTTAAAATTACAGCTTTGTAAACAGTATAAAGATGGGAGGTTGAGTAGTTAAGGAAATAATGAAACGTTTAAGCAACTCTAAAGCGGTGATTCCAGAGGGCCAACAAAAGCTGTTTCTGAACTGGGGCAGTTCTAGTGACAAAATTCATTTGGTGAGTCACAACCATCAGAATATTGAACTTTGGAATTTGTTTACAGGTGACCAAAGCCACACAATGTCAATAGCTCGTTCATCTGTCCATGCCAAGTGGGTCGTGGGGAAGGTGATTGGGACAGCAATGCAAAAAACTGCTAAAGTGAGAGTGACCAGACTTGTTCTGGATCCCTATTTATTAAAGGTAAGGAACATCTCTATTTTCAGGTGGCATTGATAAATCACCAACATGTTCTGGGTTCTGAGCAGAAAAACACTCCCCTGGCAGTAAAGGTGCATTGAGCATCTGCTGCACACCAGACATTGTGCTGGTCTGTGGGTGTAACAAAGTGAATTAATCATGGTTCACACTCACATTTTAGAGACACATAGAGTTCATTTCAATTCAGTCTATTAACTGCTGTAGTCATTCTATGTGCAAAGTACTGTGGGAGCAGAAGACTCCTCGTTCTTCCTTCCCAGGTTGCTGAGGAGAGCATTCTTGATTATATAAGACATATGAGCTGAAGCTCCAAAAGGATTTTATGCAGAGGACCAGTTCGGGGGCAGGAGGAGTTGGGGGAGGCTTTCCATGATGAATAGTTTGTGGAAGTTCTTTTAGCCATGTATTTACCTAAAACAAATAGACTGCTAGTTATTTCGGCAGCAAAAATGGGTTTATTCAGGATCAGCAGAGAATTGCAATTCAGGGTCTGCAACATGGTGAGCCACATGCAAGTCTCCCACAAAAGTGGTGCGGTGACCGGGGAGGAGAGCTTTTACAGAGGGGAAAGGAAGTTGGGAGGGGATGGTAGACAAAGAGTCCATGACTCCTGAGGGGCTGAGTTGTTGCCAGGAAAGAAGAGCATGTCTTTCTTCCTATTGAGCTCTGCTATCATCACAGGGTGTGAGAGCTTCCCCTTCTGGTCTCCTGACTCTGTTTAATTGAGGTTTCTGTTTATTAATTCCTTACACATGAAAGGGCATGACATTCTAACTGGAGCAGCAAGTGGTTCGGCAATGTTGAGCCCAGAGCTTGGCACTAAGTAGACGCTGTTGTTGAATGAACACGAGAAGGATTGGAGCTGGAGTGTGAATGGTCTTTTATGTTGTGTTTTGGATTTCATCCTATAAGCAAAGGAGACAGAGATAGGGATGAGGAGTGGAGGTAAGGAAATGGGTAAGAAGGTTTTTGCAGATGTCTAGGATGGAAATAGTAAAGAATTGAACAGTCCTGGGAGCAGTGAGGATGGAGTGGAAAAAGATTTCAGGAAAGAAGGGACAGCGTCCTTGATTTGGTAGATGTGCAAGGGAGGGAGGGGGAAGTGCTAAGGATGTTTCTGCATTCAAGGTTGGGCACACTGGTGGGCACAAATGCTGTTTGTTATCTAGGATCAAAGACGCAGGAGCCTTTTCAGGGTCTTGTGATGCTGGGGAGATCCCAGCCGGGAGAAGGACTTTGGCTCTCATTGTCCTCCTAGCCCGTCGACTTTCCTTCGAAGCCTCTCAATGAAATGGCTTGATCCCAAAGCAAAAACAAAAAACCACAGGAGCAAGTGGAAGAGTGATGGCATGATCATTGGCCTTAGAATCAGAGGGCCTTAGTTTGAGTACTGGCTGTTGGTTACTAGCCGTGCACATTACTTCACCTCCTTGAGCTTGTTTTTCTCATCTGTTAAATGGGACTACCTGCTGTGGCAGGGTTGTCTTGAGGAATAGGTGATTCTAGTTCTCAGCTGTGGCTTGTTTGCAATACTTTGAGTGAGGCATGAAGCTAAGTGCTTTATGAACATAATGTTTCATTCTCTTGATAACTTTAGAGGCGCAGGCATTGGAACCTCATTTTATGGTGGGGAAAAAAACCCTGAGCTTGGAGTAGTTCAGTGACTTGTCCCAAATCACACAGCTAGTGGTGAGATAGTGTGTTTTTAGGCTGGAGAGAAGGCTCTACTGGGAAGGAAGAGTTTAAATATTGTAAAAGAGGATGATAATTGATAGAGCAAGGGGCACTGCAGGAAATAAGCAGGAGAGCTCCAGACAAGATCAGTTCCGGAAAAGTCATTGCCATTTTCCAGAAATTAAGCAGCTTATTTTTGTATTGGAAGTCTCCATAAGTATGTTATCTATTTTTTCCCCCAAGTTCCAGCTTGTTTTCTGCGCATTCCTTTTTCAGATTTTGTACTGCATTGCCAGGTCATGGATGGGAACTACTGATTTGTTTCCTCCTTCTCTCAACAGTATTTTAATAAGCGAAAAACCTACTTTGCCCACGATGCTCTCCAGCAGTGCACCGTTGGAGATATTGTGCTTCTCAAAGCTCTACCTGTCCCGAAAACAAAGCACGTGAAGCATGAACTGGCTGAGATAATTTTCAAAGTTGGACAAGTCATAGATCCAGTGACCGGAAAGCGCTGTGCAGGAACCACCTACCTGGAGAGTCCAGTCAGTCTGGAAACCACCCACCTAAGCAAAAACCTGGAAGAACTCGATCTCTCTTCAACACAGTGAAGGAGAATTGGAAAACGGAGCCAAAAGGGAAGGATTTCTAAGTTTGCTTTATGGAAAAATTTTTATAAGTTTCCTCACAAACCGTCCAGTTTCTCTTCGGGTATTTATGAACTAGCTAAAAGTAAATGAAGTAAAGGCCTTGTTATAATTTTTCATAAAGGTTTACAGTCATGTTTCAAATTTCCTTCTCAGCGAACATACTTTCCTGTTACACTAAGTGTGCCTAGCAGTGCGCTGCATTGTTTTGTAAGCTCACTGTTTTAGAAGGTGGTTTTTTGTTTTTGTTTTCATTCAGAGGAATCTGGAATTTATCTTAGAACTTTTATTTGGGGAGAAGAAAACCTTTTGATATCATAAACAGATAAGACCACATTAAGTGTATATTTATTTTTGATACTATATATTCGAAATTAAGTTTTTCTCTGATTTAACCAATTCCAAATGGAAACAATTAACATGCTGGGGTCAGATTTTATCAGATTAAAGTCTGTACTAATAAGCATGTTGACACATAGAAAATAAAACTAAAATTCTGTCACTTTTCTCCTGTATCCTAGGCTAGATTAAATAGGAATGAGTTCTTAAAATCTGATACATTGATGAAGTTGTAGAATTTCTCACACATGCATTTGAGTTGGAGAGTTTCAGAGTTTTATTGCTGTTCGTTGATAAACTGTGATAACTTAGATTTTGACCTGATGAAACACTGAGCTATATATTTCAGTTTTCTGGCTCCCAGAAGGGACTTGGAGTATATCTCAACCTCAACAAATATGTCAGTATTTGAGTAATAACCGCAGGCACTGCCCCCTCCTCAGGGCTTATAATCTCCTGGGCAGGTATGCACAAGTATCTTCATGACAAACACAGAAACAGATGGGTAGGGGAGAAATTGGGGTAACTTTCCAGAAAAAAATGAGAGAATGCTAGAACTGAATCTTAAAGGAAGAGTCTCCAGGTTAGTGCATGAAGCATTTGGAAAGGGCATTCCAGGCAGAGGAAGGGGGGTGTAAAGTCCTCGAAGGATGAGAGAAAGGACTGTAAACCAGGGGGTTTTGGAAGCGGTGAGCACTGCTGGGACATTGAACAAGAGTGGAACGAACTCAAGTAGAGAAATAGGCAGGAATTGTAAGTGGTGGTGGGTTGTTTAATGTTTTAAAGAGTGATATAACTAGATTCACATTTCTGTAAAGTAATAGCATCTGTGTCAGGAATAGACTGGAATGGGAAGGATTGGAGTTAGGGAGACAGTGACCTGTTCAAAGATTGGTCCTAAGACATAAACTGAGTTGGGCAGGGAAGATGAAAAGAAGATAGATGATGTTCCGAAGTAGAACTCTCAGGGAGGATGAACCGAGTTAGGGAGACAGTGACCTGTTCAAAGATTGGTCCTAAGACATAAACTGAGTTGGGCAGGGAAGATGAAAAGAAGATAGATGATGTTCCGAAGTAGAACTCTCAGGGAGGATGAACCGAAGGGAGGCATCTTAGACTGTCTGCCAAGGGGGTGGCTATGCGGTACTGGTTATCCTGGAGGGGACAGGACACCTGTCCAAGCTATCTCTAAAAGCTCAAATATTTTAAAGTCTTACCTATACTCTAATGTATCATTTTTGTCTTAACATAGATACTTTTCCTGAAAATCTTGGTGTAAAAATTATCCTTCAGGAAGATGCCCCATGTTTATCCTATGACATTGTAACCTAAGTCACACACCTGTGAAATAAGAGTATCTCCTTCCCCCCAGTAAAAAGCACTGGGTTAATGGAACTTCAGAGCAAAATGATAGTGGAGAAAAAAGTGCAGAATGAGTGGCCTGATACTAAACACAAAAGCCAGGTCAGCAAAGATGCCTTCCAAGTTAACATTTCAGGAAAATAGACTTGAAAGCATTTGTCTCCTGAAATAGAGCTGAGAAACTGGGGAATATGTAAGAAAGTCACACCGACGCCACTGGCTTGAAGAGGCCCTGCCTCCCACAGTGCAGGATGGCAGACATGTCCTTTCCGCCCTGGTGAGGACTCCAGCCTCCCTTTTGCGTCTCTGCAGCCTCTATGGCCTCACGAAGCGTAAGCCAGTTGAGATCAGGAGCTGGCCTGATCAACAGCCTCTGGCCTCCTGTCCCTGTGTGCCTGGCCTCCTTTCCACCAGATGCCTCTCCCTGGTCTGGGGCAGATCCTTGTTTCCCTTCCTCCATCCACAGGATCCAATTCTGTTCTCCCTGGTGGCTCCTTGCCATATTAACATGTTCAAACGTTGCCCCAGTCAGAGAAACTCCTGCACCCCTGGAGCCCCCTCCCCCTTCCTTCACCTCCAAAGATTACCAGCTTCAGAGAACCCCTCAGTCCGCAAGCCCAGTTCCTGACCCCAGCCCTCCTAGCAGAGACCTCCCAGCTCCCCAGTCCTGAGTGTCGTGGTCCGAACGCGGGTTGGAAAAGAATTTCCAGACACAAGGCAGAATGTAAAGAAGACAGAATTTAATAGAGGGAAGGGTCGCTGCCAGAACAGCGGGCCGACTTCCTAGTAGTCTGGGAGAGCCGAGCAGGAACATGTGCTATTGATCAGTTTTTATAGCCAAAAAACAAAGGAATGGTCCGAGGTGAAAATTTCGTTTACCGATTGGTCGGGGCATATATACCTTCCTTCTCTAGGGTGGGAGTGGGACAGGCCAGATGCCGTTCCTTATTTGGGACAGGTCCTGTTGCCCAGGTGGGCTCAGGAATTTTGTAACCATCGCAACATGGTGGGGAGGGCGAGTAAGGGTCCGGTAAGGGGTGCTAAGGGGTGTAAGGCTGACACTTTTTCAGGCAGGGTCGTACTTTGCCCTTGAAATACCTTTGTCCTTGGAGCACCACACAGGATTCGCACTGGCCTTTAAACGCTCCCTTTGGTGGCTGGGGAGCTCCTCCCTGTTTCTCTCCCTTTTCTAACTGTCCAGCTCACTTTCTGCGGGCCTTGTCTTGGTTGCGGTTTCATGAGTACATTTGTGGCTCTTTTATCTTGCCACAGGATACATTTCCCCCCAACAGTGCCATCCTGACCCACGCCCTTCTTTAGGCTGTTTCCTTGGCCAGGTGGAGTTGTCCTCCCTCCTTCCACGAGTCAACTCTTTCCCTTGGGACTG